TTGAAGCTCTAGATCAAGTTGTGCCAAATGCAGAAACAAGGTTTTGTGTTAGGCATATTTGGGCAAATTTCAAGCTGAAGTTCACTGGATCAGTTTTCAAGGAGCTTTTTTGGAGTGTTGCAAGAGCAACAACACATGTAAGTCTGTAGCTTAGATTATTTTGAACAAATTAAACTATGAAATTAAACTGGATTCATTGAGCTTAGATTGTTTTAAACTGGAACACTGTTCTTGTTGTGTGTGTAGCTTAGATTGTTATGAACAAATTTAAGAGCTTGACTAGAACACTGTTCTTGTTGTGTTTGTAGCTTGAGTACGAAATACCAATGCCTTTTATATTTACTATCAGATTAAGGAGATTGATGAGGAGGCTTATGATTACTTGAACAATATCCCCACTCAACACTAGTGCAGACATGCATTCAGTGACAATTGCAGGTCCAACATGTTACTAAACAATATGTGTGAGACTTTCAATGCAGTTATTAGATATGCAAGAGACAAACCTATCCTCACCCAAATGGAATGGATGAGGAGGTACATGATGAGGAGAAACAATAAGAAGTGGGAGGACTCCAAGGAAATCACAAGCAACTTGACTCCATATGTTCATAAGCCGTTTCAAAGGATGAGCTATGTGTCTAAGAATTGCATTGTTCAAGCTGCTAGGGATGACACTTATGAAGTGCAGTTGAAGGATGACCAGGTTCTAGTTGACTTGGGAAATGGGACTTGTTCCTGCAATCATTGGCAGCTTACAGGCATCCCATGTGTTCATGCCTTTGCATGCATAATGGATCAAAGAAGTGATGTTGAGCAATATGGGTCCACCCCTATTACAGTATGGCCACCTACATAGCAACATATGAGCCTGCAATTCAACCAATGTCAAGGCCAAAGCATTGGGACAGAGTTAACATGAGAGAGCCTCAGCCACCAGCCTAGGTGCAGCCTGGAAGGCCCAAATTGAAGAAAAGAAAGCTGGACCCTGGTGAAGGAACTTCTGTAGAAGGGGCGAAGCAGGGAGGAAAGAAAAGGAAAAAACAATGCAGGAATTGTGGTGGATTTGGCCACTATGCCAAGACTTGCAAGCTCCCAACTGTACCTGGACCAACTGAGCAAAGATCTGCAGGGAGACCCCCTTTAAACTCACCATGGGTAGTTGAGCAGAGGATGAAGAGTGAGATCAGATCAGAGCTGCTAAGAAGGTATTCTTTGGTACTCGTTCAATTTTCTTTTTTTCTTTTTATTTTGTGATGCAATTAGATGTTGAAACTTGTTTTTTCCTCTGTTAACCACAGAGTGCAGTAGGGGCTGGTCCAAACAGCATTGGGAACAAGACTTTTCCCCAAGAGTAACCAGGCTGTGAACCACTCAGCAGGAGGAAAGGTTCAAATAGTCAACAAGCCCAGCCAAGGTCCAACCAACATAGCACCCCCTCTTCCAGTCAACCTGAACCTAGAAACAGAGACACAGTGCAACATACTGGAGTGCAGACAAGGAGAGCTAAGCTGCAGACTTTCAAACATGCAAATTTGACTCAATGAACTAGGTGTTGTTTCCTTTTTCTGAACTAGACTTTTAGGTTGTTATTTTGAACATTAGCATGCAGTAGACTAAGTGTAACACTTAGAGGTTGTTTTTTGAACTCATACTTTTGGTGTTAAGCTTTGTAAGCTTATTTTGATCAAGTCATACTCTGGTGTTAGGCTTTAAAAACCTATTTTGTTAAGCAATGCAAGTAATTTGCTCATTTGGTTTCAATATAATTTCAGATTACTAAGTAGTTGCTTTAATCATTCCATCCAAAATATTGTATACAATACATTGCAAAAGTGGTTCAATGCCACTTATAAACCATTACAAAAGCATTACTAGTATTGTTCATGCCTAAGGAAAAATTACATTTTAAGCATTACAAACCCCTCAATAACTACCATCACTAACATGACTAAACTAATCCCAAAAGCAACACACAGAACAGAGTGCTCTGATCCTCCATTTCTTCCATGCATCTCTCTGTTCATCTTCTTCCTGTATGAGTTTAAAGCCTTGCATTTCATCTTCAGGTTGTCCACTTCATTGAGCAAACACCTCATCTGTCCACCAAGATCATCAACTTCCCTTTTATAGTCAGTAATTTCTCCCTTCAACAGCTTCTTGTCCAACAACAAATTGTTGATCACCTCTGTTTGCCAGGCTGTCCCATCAGGTTCATCCACCCATTCAAATACTTTACAACCCCTGCTTTCAGTTACAGTATCATAGAACTTGCATGTTCTGAACTTTCGACCAGGGTTCTCCCTTGTCCAACTGGTAAGCTTCGCAAAAGGAACACCACACTTGCACTTCTTCTCCCTTGAAGGAGAGGAACTTGTGAAAGACATCTCCTGCATCAATATGTCATCCACAATAAGCAAAATCATTCCTACTATTAAAATCTATACAAATGAACCAAGGAAATTAAACAATCAGTCCTAAAAATCAAAACCCCCAATTTATTTTTGCGATGAACCCTAAGTTCATTTTTTCGCAAATATGAGGACAATTAACACACATACTTCATGAAATAAGTACGAATTATATGATTACTTACACATGCGAACTGAATTATGCACTTAATTCAACAACATAGATTGATTTACATAACATTTAAGAAAGATAAATTAGGGTTTTCTATAGTGGTATTGACGCAATTACCTGATTTCAAATCTTCCTCCCCCGAACAATGATGCTTAAATCAAACAATTTGGGCAATTTGATTGTTGAATTCGCAAAATTTGAACCCTAATTTTGTGTAAACAGATCAACAATTGAATGATTGTGAAGGATATCGCAACTATATAAAAGACTTTGAAAAAAATAGTTGTTGCAGTGGGCCCAACTAACAGTTACTCTAACGTTGTAACCATTTAGGTGGTGAAACCAAAATTTTAATTTTTAAGTGGTGTTATAATAAAACTTTGAAATTTTGTGGTGTTATAATCAAAATTTTGTGTTTTTTCTGGTGTTATTTTCTAAAATTTCCTAATTATTATGTACAAAAAATTTTATTTTTTAAATTGATATTGTTTTATTCCCTTTTCGTTAGGGTTTGTTTGTCGTAGTTTTTTTTGTTTTCAGTTTTCTGTTTCCGCAAACATCCACATTTTTAAAAGCTGATATGTCTTGCACTCTTACCTGCTCACTTGCTCTATTAGTTTTTTTTGTAAATTTCTGAACAAAGGGGTTGGAGTTACGCTGCATTGAGAAAGTCTTAGCTGAAGCTGGTCTAGCCAAGGAAGATATCAATTATATAAATGCACATGCTACATCAAGTCCAAATGGTTTTCGAAACTCGATTGGTTGGTCATATTAACTCGAACCTTGAACATATTAACTCAAACCTTGTGTATTTGATGAGTCATGTGTTGCAATATTTTACAAATAATGCATTCATGCTGGAAAACATATATTGGAAATGCACTTAGTTTACAATCCTTAAATTTGTACGTGAAAACGAACATATAATATCTGAAATCATGTTCATGCTTCTCTACACCTACCTTGATTTCTAATATCTAACCTTGCATTTCTAGAAGGCATATATATAGATGGCAGAATGAAGTGCGTAATGTGATGCTTTTACATAAAGGCATGCTCTGCTCAATATGAGGGAAAGTTAAATGCAGCCTTAGGAGGACTTGCTTCTGGATGGAGCAGATTTATTGTCACTCACTCTATTTGCCACTTTATACCGCTCCTCAAGATATCAATATCCGCTACATAAATAAAACTGATGCTCGTTGTTTTGTTCATGTACAAGTGTAATAGAATGGGTTTTGATACTCATAGAATTTTCATTCCAATAAGTTACTGATGAATCTTTAGACTTTTCCATCATTGTCATTCATGCTCAATGCTCATGTGCGCTCTCTCATTCTTTACTTGACGGGAACAAGTGCTGCACTTATTTGATGCATCTGCTGTCATGTTGGGTAGATTTAGATTCAATACTGGTGTCAAATACTGCATTTTTTTCTATCTTCTGAATTCATAACTGAAACAAAGGTGTTAGTTTCAATGTAAAGAGTTGATTTGATGGGGTTCAAGGGTAGAACACTAAAACTGATGGCTAGTTGATTATAGGATCATTATTTTCATATATTGAGATTCAAAGTTATGTGAGAAATAATCTAAGCTAGTAGCTTGACATTATTTTGTACGAGACAGTATCACATTATTTTTCTATTAAGGTTGGTTTTGTTTTGTGGAATCCTAGCTTATTGGGTTTGCTTCTTTGTGAGATTGAAGCCGTTTCTCATCGGTAGCTTAGTCTTTTGAGTTGGGAGTTTAGGTTGTTTTAAAATTTTGGAGTTTATTGTACGTTTTGAGTCAATCTGTATCTAAAGCCAGGTTCTCATTGTAGTCTTATTAATTCTTGTATTTCAAGTATATTGCAATAAAAGGGATGATTGGGATGGTATGCTTGTTGCCTTTTCTAATCTGTCTAAAAAAAATATGTCAAACTGCTTAGCATGTTCATTTCAAGTATATTGCAATCTTAGGGGTAGCATGAAATTTGAACTTGGTGAAGAAATCGAAATTTTTAATACTTCCTCAGTTTCTATTTAGTTTACACATTCAATTTAGACACACGTATTTAGGAGAGCATAGAGAATGAAAAAGAATGATAAAGCAAGTAGTATACACTAAGAAAGCAAGGTATAAAACTTATCTACAAAGATAACATATTAACTAAAAATAAACTTCCTAAAAAGGAACATATATCAACTAAAAATAACGGAGGATAGTATTTTGACAAGGCATTTTAAAAAGGTAATGATATAATGTCACTTAATGGAATACAGGCTTTACAGCTGAATGAGTAGGAAGTTAGATCACAAAATACAGTAGCACAATCAGTATTCAGTATTGTGCTCCCATGAAAACTTAAAACTTTGCCCACGACGTCAATATTTAATTAATTATACTGCACAAACTATAAAAATAAACTAAAATGAAGGAATAAATCAATTTATCATCGAATAAATTCATTCATTAATCAATTTATGATGCATCATTACAAAACGAAATCATGAATTTACATGACGTCAAAATTAGACTGCACTTACATTGTAGACTCATAACATATGTGTACTAGGGAGAAAAATAAAATAAGTTCTTTTCAAAATTCCTATTATTTTTTTCTATAAATAACACGAAAATAAATAAAAAAACTAGTAACAGAATATTGAGCATTCTAAGCTACCTTTCATTTCTTATGAGCCTTTTTTACCTTGCTCTTAATGGAAAGTGCACTTGCAACACTCCTCCCTTCGAGCTTTTTTGTCAACTTAACAACACTACGCATACCCCTTCTAGCAGCAGCCCGGTGCTCGGGTCTACGGCTGAGCATCTTACGGTCCAGTGGCCAGTATGCATACGGCTCAAATTTGCCCTTCTTTTTCAAATCTCCACGAGCCTTCTTACTAGCATACTCATTACCAGTATAGGCCCATCCTGACTCAGATGTTTTCCTGCGCTTCTGGTCAGCCTTCTTTGATTTAGAAGAAACAAAGCTTCGAACATCAGTTTTATCTTCATCATATTCATAATTATCATCATAATATTTCTCACTCTTGGGTTTTCCTTCCTCACGAATTATTAGTCGTCCATCCTCATCAAACTCGGGCTCATCTTCTGAATCAAGCTTCCTTTTCAGATTTCCACCAGAACGAAGAGCTAGCCTTGTTTTACGCTGGTCCAGAAGATCAAGTGGTTCATCTTCTAGGTCAACTTCTAATAAGCTCCTTCCAGACCTCGTTTTCCTTGACCTAAGAGAAATTTATTAAACTAAGGTACATAAAGGGAATCTCTCTAAGTTATAAATTATTTAAATACTTTACATATCCTTCCATTTTATTGGACCTGAATAAATCAAGAGAAACTCCAGTCCTCCATCCTCAGAGGTGGCAAACAGGTCGCAGTCATGCCATGTCTGGCTATATTCGAGTCTATTGAATATTAGGTACTCTCTTTGTTTTTTTTTATAAGCTAAAGTTGGAATTAACACTATTCATATGTCATCATTGACTTAATTTTTTTTACCAACAATAAATATGAGCATATAATATATTCATCATAATGCATGTCTACTTTTATAAATTAATTTTTATATAATTTTCACTAATCTCTTATTAAATATATTAATGGTCAAAGTAGTATCTTGGCAAATGTGCAAATCCAACTCTAGTTTATAAGAGAGGGAATATTATAGAATAAATGAATTTTGGCTGGGTCTTTCCAAGTCAGGTAATTTGGGTATTGTTGTTTGTCAGGTCAACTGACCCAAATGAAAGAGAAACCAATTCAGTGCAAGGCCAACAGAACAGCAGAAAAAGTAAACAGTGCATACTTCAGTACCTAATACATAAAAGATGAATTGACTAATAAAATGCAAGATACCTTGATGAAGGCGCTTTTGATTTTAACTTGGAAGATGATCTGCTCCGTCGACCAACAGATGTCCCAGCATCCATATCATCCCCATCACTAAATTCTTCATCAAAGTCAGAAAATATCTTTGTGTGACCCCATCCACTTTGCCTGCAAAGTGCAGTCACACACTCACTCGTTAATCACAACACAAGTTGGCATAAACCAACAGTGTCAAATAAAAGAGCAATCTTTACAATTCCTATTAAAGGAAAAAATGGTTAAGTTCTCAACTGTAACCAGCATGCAATAACATCTACTCTATACTTGTATCACTGTAGCTAGTATTCATGTTAGACATGGGTATGTCTCAGTATCAAATTCAGCCATTTATAAATTCCATACTTTTGGTACAAAATGAAATGTGATTTGTCCATACATAATAACATCTGCTACTATTTGTTATTCAAGTAAGATCTCGTGTTTGTGTTAGACATGAGTATCTGTCAAAGTAAAATATTCAGCCATTTTCAAATTTCCATGTTTTTGGTCCAAGTGTTTAGGATGTGACATAGGTACTTGAGGTGAAATGAAGCATCCAGGTGACAAAATATTTGTTAGAGAAAGAGTGTACATAGCATTTGGCATTTCCCACATACCTTCTAATAATTTGCTTTCGAGCTAGAGTTATGTTACACATGCATTTTCCAGAGAAGGATAAAAAATATAGCAATTGAAAATTCCCAAATATTGACAAGACATGTCAGAGTAAATTTCAACCCGTAAGCACGCAAGCAATATGAAAAAAACAAAGATGGAATAACTTAAACCTGGACGTAGTTGCTCTTGACAGGTAGGAACTTGTCTCAGAATTGGATGCCAACTTCCTTTCTTTCCGCTCTTTTATCTGGAGAGAACCAACAAGTAAGCAATCACAGACAAAAGAACAAAGGTCAGGTAATACACAGCAACTAAAAGAAAAGATTAAAAATTATATTCAACTTCTCACCTTGCGAATATTAGTAAGAAGTTTCATATGATCTTCTGGCATTACAGCCTTAATAGCATCAAGGCCACATTTCTTGACAAGCATCTCCAACAAGTGTTTAACCTAGCAATAGGCGTGAAACCAAACTTAAGAAGAGAGAGAGATGTTGATATAAGCTACTACAGTAATTCCTTTGATTTCGAAAGATCAATGTCGATACAATTCTCATCTGAAGAATAAATGCTTTAGAAGTAAAAAATTCCATTGAAACAGAATAAATGAAGAATTACAGTACATGGACTGAAAACCCAGCAGGATCCTCACTCCTCAAGGGACCCAAGGGTACAGTTCCTTAAATACACAATTTCGCCGGGGGTGAAGGGGAGGCCAGGTGGCAAATTTTGCTAGCTTACGTGTACATATGACGATGAAACTAGAGGAAAAGAGGTGGAGAGGACCCTAACAGCCCTATTTATCATAAATTCGAATGTACAGATCCAATATTTGACTCAATTACACTACACATCTACCACAGCCAGGGTTAGGAGAAAGAAGGATAAGTTCAGTGTCTTTTCTGGTCAAACCTAAGGGCATATACTGCTGCTGACCAACTAAAGCTAGGTGAGCCAACGAGCTAGTTTCAGAGTTAGCGGATACCTAAAATGAATGAAAAAGAAAAAGAAAACAAAGTAATAGTGCCAAGAACACGAGCACATGACCCAAATACGCTAAAAAAGGCTAAAAGGAAATGAAAGTCTCATAGCAACAGTAGGCCACAAACCTTAGCTTTGAAATGCTTCATGGAGCCATCCTGCCGTACTAAAATACCATCAACCATGCCTTTCAGGTAAATTTGCAGGATCTCAGATGGTGATTTTGCAACCAAAACCTTAAGTAGACCCAAATTAGCCTGAAGCAACACAACCATTCAACATAAATATCCCTACGAATAAAATTACAAAAAAAAAATTAAAAAAAAAAAATCAATGGTCAGTTAAACAGGACATACTTTAATGATCTCCTTGTCCTCCCTCTCAAGAAGTAAAAGTGAAGGGGAAAACAGATCGCATGCACCAGAAAGACAATCGGAAAATTCATAAGCCAAGCGAGCCAACCCTTTCACAGTTGCACTGATCATATGCGAACAATCGCTGGCAAGGCCTGCAGCTACCTGTTCAAATGAAAGAGCCCTAAAATCATTTCGAAGTTATATAGGAAAACAAGTCTATTTTTTAGTCAGATATATGTCACAAATGTAAACTCTTTTTTATGAAAAATTGTAACTTTCCTTTACCACACAACTCTCCCTTTTTCACGATGTAGGAAGTATGAGATACTCACTACTCAACTTTCCCGAGAAACTTCTGCCCCACACATCTTTTAAAAAAATTATTTTGATATACCTTCCAAAAATATCAAAATATTACCCAAGAAAATTATATACACAGTATTTACATTAAACCCTTCTCTAATAGTACAATATAAAACTCTTATTGATTGTTTCATCAAGATGAGCGAAGAGAAGTCCAGCTGAGATCCATGGTGTTTTCTTTGTTGTTGTCATTGAGATCTATGCAAAAGCACTTGCAGGTGGAGACCATGTTTAGGGTTGAAGGATTCGAAGAAAGTAGAATATTGTGAAGAAGATAGATAAAATGGCAGTGTTAGATATTGAAGTGGGAAAGGGGGATTTTACTGAGAGTTAAGGATTGATTAGATCAATTCAGATTTTTTTTTTTCTGCTTTTGCTGCATTGTTATCATCTTGATTTCATTTTTTATTTATTTTTGTAACTTGTTTTAAAGTTAAATACGATTTTTTTTTGTTTAAAAAAATTAAAAAATAAATAAAATCAAGCCAAGCCCCATCGGTTCCGCGACTGGTTCACTATATTTAACCCAATTTGACCGGTTCCGAGACTGGTTCAAAATTTTCGGACCCGGTCCTGACCGGTTACCCCAAGTAGATACTTCCATAGAGCGGATCTTAAGATGAAACTAGCCATATGATGAGTATAAAACAAAATAAACAAAATGAGGTACTCCAAAAACTGATAAGAGAAGCAACGAAACTACATACTTTCTCAAAGACTTGGAATAAGTTCTTCTTTTCCCCTCCTTGCTCCTTCTTTTTCCCTCCCTTCTCCTCGTCACAAGCATGACCAATTTGGACTAGAATATCATAAGCCCGATTTCTGGTTTTCTTATTAACCTGCAAATAATTTCAAAATTGGCATTCAACCTATGAATTCTACTGAAGAAAATGACTGAACAAAGTGCAAAGATACTAGGAAGACATGCCATCAGAAAAAAGTAAAAATTATACTCCCTCCGTTTTTTTAAGTGAGTGTTTCTCATGTGCACGTATGCCAATACAAAAAATTAATCAAACATATCTTTAATAATCAATAACTAAACATTATAACAATTGAATATTAATAATCTATTCATTGAGATGATTCCAATCCACAAGACTATTTTTTCTTATGTGTAAATCACTAACATTAGTAAAAGTAGTTAGGTAAACTGTGCAAAAAGTCAAAACGTTTCACTTAAAAATACAGAGGAAGTATATATGCAGTCCACCTAAGCCAATAATCAATGCAATCAAATTTGGCATTCAACCTATGAATTCTACTTCAGAAAATGACAGAACAAGTGCAAAGATACTAGGAAGATATGCCATCAGGAAAAAGAGAAAGAACAACTATATATGCAGTCCATCAAAGCCGATATACAATGCAATCATAGGTTAACTCCTCATACCTCAGCCAGAATAATTCAAAGAAAATTATGAGCAAAGCAAAACTAGAAAAATTAAAATATATATAAAAAAAATATAAAAAAAATATAAAAAAATAAAAAAAAAAGTAAAAATAATAACCCTCAAACAGTCAAACCACAAACAAAAATGAGAAAGGTTTTGTGGGACAGATGGAAATTATGATAGTACACAAAAAAAAAAAAAAAAAAAAAAAAAAAAAAAATCAGAAAGGAGTAAAGACCATACAAAAATTGTAATTCCAAAAATGCAATTTCAAAAAAAAAAAAAACATACCTCTTTCAGCGCAAGTACAATTTCAACTATGAAAGGACTGATTTTATCCCATCCTGCTTCATCCTATTGAATAGAAATATGACAACTTATTTTGATTAATATAATTTACTCCATCCATCTCCAAAGTTTCTTCACATGTGGGTTTAGCATGGAAATAATACTGGTAAAATTAAAGTACCAGAAGTGAATAGAAAGGTGGGGGGGAAAAAAGACAAGTGAAAGTAGTGAGAAGGAAAGAGAAAAAGGATTTATGTTATGGAGAGGATACATATTAAGTATTATGGGATTGTCATCTTCAACCCAAATTGTAGTATTATAGAATTTGGACAGCTGATCAAGGAAAATGTGAAGTATTTCGAGGATGGAGGGAATACATATAGCTAGCATGTAGAGTTTAAGGAAAACAAATCAAACCTTGATCACATGGACAATAACAAAATACAAACAGTCAAGCCTATGACGTTTGGCTGAGAAATGGCATTTAGACCGCACTTCACTCATCAACTTGAGAAGTTCTTCAATCTTCCTTGAAATAAACCCATCCGAATTCTACCAGCAAACAACCCAAGTCAAATGAACAGTTAAAAACTGACTAGAAAAAGATCATTATATAGCGCAAAGAATTGTACTTTCATTCTAAACCATTACAAACTCTGCTTACTTCAACCGTAACAATAGTAAATAGAAGAAAAAATAAATTATCTCCCTATTAATCAAAAACAAATGCTAAAACCATCATCTACCTCTTAGCCAATGATAGACCCACTTCAAAATGCTAATTAATGGGCACTTTTCATTTTTGAAGCATAAAATCCTCAATATTGTGGCGGATTGAATAAATTAAATCTGTAAAGAGGTTAAATTCACCTTGAGAATCATTGAAAGAACCTTGTACGCCTTCTTTTGGATCAAGCCATCGACATCCTGCAGCTCATTATATCAAAGATGCATCAAACATACCTCACAACCATAGCTCAAAGAAAACTACAGTGAATATAATGAGATGATCATATATATTGGTGAATCACAAACCTCCAGTGCTGGAATTATGGTAGAAAACAAGATATCAGTATCCTGAGGACCCAAACCAGGCAAAAGTGAAACAGCCAGATCAAAATGCTGAGCTCTGCCAATATAAAAAGAAGTAATGAGGAATTATCATTATAAACATAGAAGAAACCGTAAACATAACACATTGGTAGCAGCAAACATGGAAAATTCACCTTTTGGGTTTAACACAAAAGACATACTACTAACAGAAAAGACAACTAACACACCTCTTGCAAGAAAATGAATTATCACCGGATGAAAAGTCAATCTCCATTGCATCTCTTTTATTGCCATCATCAGTGAACTTCAAAAGTTGTTTCATTTCTTTCCTAAGTAATTTTGACACAGTATCTTCACCCGCTATTGATGCGAATTCACCTATTGTAGACTAGAATCAAACCAGAGCTGAAGTAAGTTTCAAGAAGCATTAAAAAAAAATTATCAGCAAACAAATTAAAGAGCAACGAATACTTGCATATGTCATTTGGTATACCAAGACTGGACTATAGTTTGTACCACAAATCAATTATTACTGGTCCAAGAAAGAAATTTTAACTTCAAGAAGAGGATTCTAGGTTCCAACTACATCAAAAGAAGGCATCACTATCCTTAGAAAACATATGAACCCATGAGGAGAATAGCAGCAGTATATAGCAGATTAATATTTTTTCTAAACAGGTTAAAAATATAATAAGTGAACTATCATTCATCAGTTTAGCCACTGGCAGAGTCAAGTGAAGCAGCCAGCAACCCATAGGGCCATAGCAGACAGTTAATTTGACAAGGACAGCCAGGAAATATTAATCCAATACCATAATTTCCTACTTCCCAACATTTATACCAACTTTTATTAGATTTATCCCCATACTGATGAAAACATCTAGGATCTGTATTCTAAGTTTGCCTACAACATTAAAATTATCACTGTTTTAACACAACACTGAAATGCAAGTCAGTATACCTCAATATTAACAATGTGTTCGGGATCCAATTTAATGGAAAAATAGAGAAGTAAACCTATGGATATCTGTGCAACAGTAAAACCAGAGGAATACATGGAAATCTTCAATGATAACTTTTTTGGTTTGTTATCATGGAAAACTGTGGAAAATTGAGAATCCTTCAGCTATGGTATTGATTTGCTTAGTTTTCCATAGTTGTTCCAACACTTTTGAAGGAAAAACCATTCAAAAAAATGGGCAACTAAAAGATTTTCCCACATTGGCTTAGATTTACACCTCCATAACTTCTCACAACCAAACATTGTAAAACTAAGAAATTCTCAGAAACATACACATCCACTCAGACTTCCTCCTTAAAGTTTGATCCCCTAAAACACTGGCATGGAGTCAGTCATTGAGGCAGAATGAATTTTTCAAGCGGGGAAGGGGAATGGAGAGGAGAGAGACATATAAACCGTAAGGGAGACAGAAAATGTCTTCAAGTATCCCAAATCTACAAGATAAAGGGATCAAATGAAATTCTAATAGATGCTTCACATACATAAAGGTTCAACAACTCTTTTACTGAACATCACAGAAACACAAATTCACCAGTACGTGAGGCAGGACACCCTCTTAATACAGTTCCAAAGCATAACAATTTTCGCTACATTTTTTAGCGGACAATATATAAAAAGGCACGCCCCTAGGCGCTAGGGGTCTTTCTCTAGGCAAGGTGATTTCAATGAAGCTCACCGAGGTGCAATGAGGAGCACAACTTTTTTTTGCCACCGAATGTTTTATTTCTATCAAGTGTGCTTCAACTCAATGGGGTACAAAAAGGCACAACATGATCCCTATCGCCTCAGTGCACATTTGAGTTAATTTTATAGATTGTTAAAGAAATCAAGGGTATTGACTAGGGGTAGTGGAATCTAATAATAAGAGGTGGTGATTGATGGTGGAGGAAGAGATGGGAATTTATACACTCGTTTTGGGAAAAATACAAAGGTATTAAGGCTGGGGCTCACTGTGCTCACAAAGCCCATCATACCTAATCATGGCTGAGCATTAGATTATAATTGAAACAAAATCAATCAATCAATGTAGACCAACAACTAGACAATACAGAACTTTTTTTGTCTAGATAGCCTGACAATGCAAAAAAATAAACAAATAAACTGGAGCAAGAAAAAAAAAATCATAAACATATACCTGCAACATTCAACAGGGTTGATATTGAATAAATATATAATAAAGAAAAACAATCGACATGAGTTATGACAAACAAAAATGAAGTCACTCTACCCGAATCAGCAAGCAGACACGGCTAACACTATATAACAGATAGAAACTTATGACTGTAGCATGAAAAAGAACATAGAATTGTACCAGCAAGCTTCCACCAGGATCATTTGTGGAGTTCAGGAAAGCATTGAATAAAACTAACAAGAAATTACGAGCAGAAGATCTCAGCACTCCCAAATTAGCAGAAGCCACCTCTTGATTGTAAAAACCAATAGCTCTCTCAATGGGAGCATTTAGTTTATCGCTGGGTACATAATTGTTTCCTTCTAGAATACACTTATTCTGTTGTATGAGGATTTGCAAACTGGAGCAAATAATTCCTTGAAGATCAGGCTCTTTATACAAAGCATTGCATAAAACTTCCTCAAGAAGTTTGAAGCTTTCAGCAGTGTCCAAAGGGTAATTGCAAAATGAAGGCAATAAGGTCCACACTTGGTATACAATCCTGTCTGTATATCTTGATGCCTGGACTTGCCCCTCTAACTTAAGCTGGTAAAGTACTTTCGTTTATCAATGATACGAGAAAAAAAGTATAAAATATTGATGAAAATTATGTAGAGTATTTATAAAGGCTAAGTAGCAAGACTAAAAGTACCTTTTTAGATTTTTGCTTAAGGTTTTCAACCATACCCAGCAATGACTCGACATAGAACCTCATACGTCCACCAACTGTATACTGTTTTAGAATTGGGAAAAGCCAACCATTAATATCAGACAGAGTGTCAGCTTCCAAATTCAGTGGCAAAATGCATAAAAAGACTTCAGGTCCCACTGCCGCAAGTGCTGATCCAATGCAATCTTGCAACTGTACATGAGAACAAGCATCACAAGTCAGAGGTAGATTGAAGGTAAGAAAACATTAAATAGAAGGGGAATAGGAAAGGGAAGGGAAAAGTATTGCTATGACACAGTTTCCATAAAGCATTAGTTGTATATGCCATATCCATATCAACCATTAGAATCTAAAAAGGATATATAGTTTGAGTAATTGTGTACACTACAGCACAAACTATCAAACCATATACAACAATTTGTTGGGAAAACCAAGCATTCTTGCCTTCTTGGGAGATATGGCAGAGGTAAACCCAGGCATTTTTGGGGTCAAAGAATTTCTTACCCAGTTGAATTTCAGTTAGGACCACATCTGAGACAAGACTGGTAACAATCAAATCATGAAAGTTCAAAAAAGCTCTTCTTTGCATGAGGAACTTTTCTTGATAAGAGGAGAACCGCTCACATTGAAACACTTTCTAACTATGTGGTGAGGTCAGCAGGCCTTACTAGGACACTTAGCAGATAAAACTGGATTTTAGTAATAAGCATTAAAGATAAGATAGCAAATGCTTTGGGCAAGAACCATTGATAGCTTGCAAAATAATGAAGTATGTAACAACATTTGCCTGAGATTTCATGACGATACAAAAATTTTCTCAGCTTTCTATTCTGATCAATTAGGTTACTGTGAACAACAATGATCCTGACTGTAAATATATGACATCCCTCTTTATACCTTGTTTTAAGGAAAGCTTCAGCAGAACAGTATACAATATGAAAATGACTAAAATGGTATCACCAACTTTCATGGGGATTGAGCTATAAGTGAAAAGGCAACCTTTTTCCTCTCTGGGAAATCTTCCTCGCTTTCCTTTTCAATGCTTGCCAAGCTCTCCAGGCTGCCTCTTAGAAGGACAGAAGAGAAAGTACCTAAAAACAGTAACCCAAAAATAAATACACCCTACATGAGATAGAATGTAGGTAAAGAAAGCAACCTCTGAAAGTCTGAAATAAGCACATCTTTATGATTACCTAGTTTGTCAAACATCAAAGAGACAATCTGGAAGGCCATGTCCCACTCGCTACGATATCTGTTGTCGAGAAAACTTCCAATAGTAGCACAAATTTTCTCAATAATAGACGGTGCAGACTTTCTGTTGTTGAAGTCTAAATTACTGTTTGCTCGGTCAACACCTTTCTTTATTAGGTCTTCATCAACACAAGCTTGTATCAGATTCTTTAATGACTCGGTCGCAGCAAATTTAGCTTCCTCGAACCCAGATCCAAAAATATCTGCCAGGTAGGCCAGTAGAATGCCATGAAACGGCATGGTAAAATATCACTGAAATAATTTTGCTTGACATGCAGAAATATGGAAGAGGGAGAAAAAACAACCTTGCAAAGCATTTAGTACAAGTGGAAGCTTATCAACGCAGATCTGCCTGTTGAGATTGTAAACCTTCCTCATACCGACATCCAACAGACGAGCAGTAACATTCATGCCATCAGCTGACGTTTCATCCACTTGAACTGAAGTAGCCAAAGCGCTTAGAAGGTCTACCAAATCTTCGGGTTTAACTTCCACACTAGGGTCAAGGCAAAGGACATACAAACTATCTGTTATACGCCTTGTGACAAGGGGCTTACGCACTCCCAATAGGGTTTTGTAGTACTTCAGGATGGATGTTTTGTATTTCATAGAAATATAAGGCAGACAATCTTTAAGAGCCTCAAGGACATGCAAAATCTCCTGGGCTATCTCAGCAGGGGCACCTTTTGATGCTCCAGCAAGAAGCACCAATTTCTGAAACATGCTAGTGAATCCTTCACTTGCAGGTGCCAACAGTGGACATCTCTGGAAGCTTTGTAATACATCTCGAATACAAATATGCGATTGCTTCCTCACCTTTACAGTTCAAAGAAATAATTCTATCAAAAAAAAAACTTACATCTACATATTCTAAAGACTGAAACGAATACACCAATAGTAACCGAGCAAGGTCATAACATAGGATGATTCTCTTCACCGACACAGATGAGAAAATTAATGCTGATCATTAACTAAACCCCAGGCCATGGCCAAAGTAAGAGTGTACGATTATGCGTCACATGTAAAAAAAAAAAAAAAAAAAAAAAAAAAAAAACTTACAGATCATACAAGATATTTGGTCGTTAAAAGAAAGTCATTTTATGCGTTATCACACAAACGGACTACCTTTTAAGTTTTATTTTCAAGCTTCCTAAAAGAAAAGGGCCATTTGATTACACTATACTAAATCCTATGCAAATTTTAAGCTCCTCAACATCAAGACATTGGCAGCGATTGCAGCAATCCAGTTATTTAAACCTTCACCTCACACCCAATCTAATTTTCGGATACAACAAAGGCAGTTCTGCACTGCACAGAGATTGCAGCAATCCAGTCTAACTTTCTCCTCCTTCCAATCATAATCTTTTTCATATATCTTTTTTGTTCCGAAACAATAAAAAGCTACGTGCAATCAAATGACATGCTCAATAAATTAAGCAATGCCGGAAATTTTACATCAGTACAAGAGCATGATTAATAAAATTATCAAGCAAACCACACACACCAACTAAACATAATTTGAGAGCTTAAATATTATAAAAGCAGTATGTTTCAATACCATTTGATGTTAAATTTCCTAATTCAACAGAACAGATAAAAACTAATTAATTAAACAACAAAAATCCAACCTTCAAAATTAAAAACACGTGATTTCGCAAACTTCGTACCTTACTATCCGAATGAGTGACGAATGCAAGAAGAAACCCATAATATTGACTAACATCAGACCAATTTAAAGAATCCCTAATAACCAGCAACCCAGAAACACAGCTCAACCCAGCCACAACACCATCAGTCGACAAACAACTACCGCCTTGTAAAACCCTAATCAACAAATCCAACAACAACACCTTCCTCTTCCTAAGACTCCCAACAGGAATCCTCGGCATTATCAAACTCATCAAAGTAAGAAGTGCCTCAACATTGTGGTCGGGTGACGTGGAGGAAGAATCAGAGGAGACACAAAGTCGGTCAAGGGAAGAAACAATGGAACCAAAGTACGCCGCAGGTAAGAGAGGAACGTTGTTGTCTTTGAGACCTTGCGACATTGTTCCGATAACATTGCAGAGATTGAGGTGTTGTTCGTTATTGGATTTTCCGAATTGCGAGATGATTGAGGTGCAGAAATCTTCATTTTGCTCTTCAATTGGGTTGAATTCTTCAATTGGGTCGAATTCTTGAAGGTCTAAACCTTCAATTTCCATATCCATGGCGGATGAAATTGGGGAAGAAGACGGTTTTAAACCCTAGAATTGATTGGTAGTGATGATGAAATGCTAGGGTTTTGGAGGGTTTTAGGTGGCTGTGGCAAAGGGTAGCGCTTAGCCTAGCAACGTGCTGGACCAGCACACCATTTTTTTTTAATATTAAATGCTCTTGGCGGGCCCCAGTCTTGTATTGATGTATATTTTGTACGTATGAAGTTGTATGTTCCAAATTTATACATCGTTGCACGATTCTCAAGACCATTACAATTGGTTGGTTAGTTATTTTGCAAATGTGTTTGATTTAATTCATTCAGAGACAGAGATGAGAATCTAGGGTTCTTCATTCAATCTCCATCTTATTGAGTTGAGCTACTCCATCTTTCATTGGTTTACTTTCTCGTTCAATCGCCATCTTCTTCAGCCCCCCAACTTATTGTCTCCTATTGTTGTTTGAATAATGAAGGGTTTTTGGGATTAAAGATGAAGGTCTAAATTGGTAATTGGAGTAAAACCGCGTCAATTGTGAGCGAATTTAAGAAATTGAGGTGGAGTAACGACGATTAGGTCTTTCGACATCTACGCAATGGAGCTGATTGAGAGTGATTGAGGCTAGAACTAAATTGGCGGGAATTAGGTATGTTCATTGACTCTATAGTTGGGATTAAATTTGATTCTTGGATTTGTGCATATTTGGAATTGGGGTTTGGTTGAAAGTAATGACATTTACAATTGTTATTTTGGATTTGTAACATTTATTTGATTAGTTAGTGACACAAATGACAATATTATTTATAACAAATGACAATATAAGACAATGTAGGTTACTTGACATTATAGGTTACCTGACACAAATGACAATATTATTTACAATTGTAATTGGCATTAATTTTGCAATTAATATTTTATCTAAAATGACAATATAAGACATACAAATGCCATTAAAGTTGGAAATTAAAGTAACTATGATAATTTTAATATTAGTAGAATTATTGTGATACATATGAGTTGTTTTTATACATACACTAGATTAGTGCCCGTGCGATACGCAGTGGTGATAATATTTTTTCCCGATGAAATAATAAGGTAAAAAGTATTAAAACTAAAATTGAGAGAAAATAAAATATTATTACTGATTAGTTATGTTGAAAATATTTTTAAAATAATATACATCATATTACATTAATGATACATGTTATTCTCAATAAAACTATACAATGTAGATGCTGCATGACTTTTTAGTTATGAATTAATTTAGTTCCAAAAAAAACAAAAAAAAAACTATAGAATGTACTTCCAAAAAAGCTAAGTAGAATAATAAAAAAATAAAAAATAAAAAATAAAAAAAAAATTTAAGTTGACATCATATATTGTATTGGCGGAAATTTTTTTAATGATAGCTTGACATATGTCTAAAATGATCGATGTAAGCATGTTTTAATAATAAAGGAAAAAAAGTTATAAGTTGGTAAAATTATTACACAAATATTGAACAGAAAACTAACTCAATTATTATTGTTTCATAAGATTTCAAATCAACACCATGAATAAAAATGTTTTTTTTCATTGAACCTCACTATCTTGTAACTATATATATAATGGTAATTTAAATGTTAATATTGTATTTTAGGCTCCTTTATTTTATACTCTCCACCATATTTAAAAGGTCTCAAAATATTGTGTAACTATTTTTGTGGATTGCTAAACATCGCCTACAAATTACCAACTAAAGCCCACAAATTTTCATTGAATTGACAATATTGCCCTTGACCTAACAAAACACTCTCTCATCACAAAAAAAAAAAATCGGTGCCACTTTCATTCTACGTTTTTAAAAAAAAAAATTTAAAGTCCGGCAATGTCGAGGCGGCAAGGCAAGGAATTGGCGGCGGCGGCGGCGGAGGGAAGGAGGTCTCACAGTGGAAAGGTAGGTTTTTTTCCGTAAAAAAAATAAAAAAAAAAAAAAAAAAACCGCCGTGGCAAGGTGGGGCGCATGGGGAGGACGCCACGGCGGTGGTGGTGGCGCCTGAATCAAACGCCGGAACCACGGCCATGGCGTCTGGATCTAGCGCCGCCACCATCGGTATGGCGTCCTAGCCAAGCGCCGCCACCACAGGAATGGCGTCCTAGCCAGGCGCCGCCACCAGCGGTCTGGCGTCCTAGCCAGGCGCCGCCACCCATGGTCTGGCTTCCCAGCCATGCGCCCCCTTTTTTTTTCTTTTTTGTTTTTTTTAAGTAATTTTCTTTGGGTTTTTGTTTTTTTATGGTTTTTTTTTAAAGTCGGATTTTTTTAATTTTGTTTATTTTTTTGAAAATCATAATTTTTTTATGTTTTTGTTTTTTGTTTTTTCCACTAATTTTTTTTTTTGAAAATAAAATTTTGTTTGTGTTTTATGTTTTTTTAAGTTTTTTTCAATTTTGTTGTATTTTTTTTACGTTTATACTTCCTTTACATTTCTTTGTATGTTTGTTTTGTACAATTTTTTTTTATATTTGTTATTGCAATTTGTTAGTATGTTTCTCTGTTTAGTTGATACATTTTCGTTTAGGTTATTTATTTTTTTTCTTTTATGTTTATATAAATTTTGTATGTGTTGGTTTTTTTTTCTTTGTTTGTGTATATTTTATTCTGTAATTTATTTTAAGTGTTCTGTTAATTTCTTTTTCAGGGTAGTTTGCTAGTATTTTTTTAGTTCATTTGATTTGGTTTTTGGTAGTTATTTTTCTTATAATTTTTTTTAATGTGTATTCATTTTTTAATTTTTTAAAGGTGTCGCATTTTCGTCATGGTGCGGGGAAGAATTTAGACCTTATTAGGTCTGGAAACTACTCGATGGAGAGCTCGGGGCCCAGACATCTTAGATCCCGTGGTATTTCGGCCTCAGCTTGTAGAGAACGGGTTCACCATCGGGATGAAGATGATGAGGAGGAGGAGGAGGAGGAGGAAGAGGACGCATATGAGGATGTGAACGATGGGAGTGGACCATATGATGATTACGGTCCATTCAGTTAGAGGCTAGATGACATGTACGAGACGCATGTGCGTAAGGGTAGGGATGGTAGGTTTGTGAGTAGATCTGGCACATCATCTGCATCCACCGTGTCTGGGGCAAGCAGAAAACGGTCGAGGGCCGTTAATGATTCTTGGGTGGTTAAGGGTGCGGTGCCTGGGGGGACCTGTTGACGGGAGTGTGATTCCTAGCTTTCTAGGACACATAGCTACCCGTATCTGGGAGGACCAGGAGAGGGGTTTGGTGACGGGCATTTTGAAATGCCAAACCCGGGAAAAGACTTATAGCGTTTTGAGCAGATGGGCTGAGGCTTGGCCGGTGTAGAGCGAGATGTTCGAGTGACTGCAGGGCACTGGGGTGAATCACCTTCCTGCCACCATGCACGATAAGATTGATTGGACGCTGATCACGGCTTTCGTTGAGCGATGGCAGCCGGATACAAACTCTTTCCACCTTCCATTCGGTGAGATGACGATCATGTTGCACGACGTCGAGGCCATTATTGGGATTCGCGCAGAGGGTAAACGCCTTTCTGTTGTGACTGATGAGGATCAGGCAGATTTGCTGGCGGAGCTGTTGGCGGTGGACAGGGCTGCGCTGTACATCGGGGCACAAAATTAAAAACATAATTATGTATAACAGTATTCATACACATACAAAATTAAAACATAATCATTTATAAAAGTATTCATACACATACAAAATTAAAACATAATTATGTGTAAAAGTATTCATACACAAACAAAATTATAACATAATTAATTTTTTTGTAAATTATTAACACAATCTAATTTCCACATACAAAATTATAAAATAAATTTATTAGAAAATATGTAAAACATTATTTCAAGTTATACATTTTTTTTTTACAATTTAAATTTCTCAAATCTATTAACAAAAAAAAACAAAACATTAAAAATCTAATTTCCACATACAAAATTATAAAATAAATTTATTAACAAATATTTAAAACATAATTACAAATAAAACATTTTCTATTTTTTTTTTAGAATTTATAAACAAAAAAAAAACAAAAAAAACTTATAAACAAAAAAAAAATAAACAAAAAAATAAAAATAAAAATAAAGGCAGCGGCGCCTGGCAGGACCACCACCACCATGGCAGTGGCGCATGGCCAGGACGCCGCCACGGTGGGAGTGGCGCCTGGCTAAGACGCTAGGACCGTGGGTGTGGCGCCTAGCCTGGAAGCCGCCACCACGATTCCGGCGTCCTGGCCAAGCGCCACCTCCACGGTGCCGGCGTCCTAGCCAGGCGCCACCGCCATGGCGTCGGCGTCCTGGCCATGCGCCCCAACCATGACGTTGGTGGTCCATGCTCACGCCTCCGACGATGTTTTACCTCGTTTTGCTGCGACGACGACAGCTCTTCGGCGTCCCTCGGCTCTCCGGTCTCCCGCGCGGACCCAACACGGCTCCACATTTTTCGATGTCAGAATTTTTTGTTTTATGGTAAGATTTCACAAATGGCCAAAAGTGCCAAACTAAGTGTCTTTTTCAATTCGATTTTTCTATGTCAGAGTTTTTCGTTTTTGGTAAGATTCCACAAATGGCCAAAACTGTCAAATCAAGTGTCTTTTTTAATTTGATTTTTCGACGTCATAATATTTCGTTTTGGGTAAGAATTCACAAATGGGCAAAAGTGTCAAACCAAGTATATTTTGCGGGCTTTATGTAGTAAATTGTGGGCGATGTTTAACAAATTCCCTATTTTTAAGTAAATAGAATACGAAATAAAAAGAAATACAATTATTATAAAGATAATATATAAGATTATGAATAGTATTATTATATTTGCATTATAGAAATTTTCCAAAAATAAAAGATTTTTGCTAAATAGGAAGGGGGGTTTTGGACGGAAAAAACAGCACCAAGAAGTGACACGTGTCATTCCTGGTATCTGTTTTAGTATTATGTTATTAATGGCTTGACATGATGCATGTGATAGATTAATTGTTAAAGATTAACTGTTAAGGATGTGATATTGCATGATTTAAAAGATGTGAAATTGCATAACATGTTGTTAAATGATGTGGAAAAAAAATATTTAAGGTTGAGGCAATGATGATAAGTTTAGAGGTTACAGAAAATATTTGTTTATCA